TCAACTGTAAACTGTTTTATGATGTCTTTATACAAACATGTATTGATTAATGAGTCTACATTATTATTTGTATTTGAGTTTGACAGGCCTCGGGTTATGAGTGTTCATGCTCTAGGGCTCCAGTTCCCCTGTGTAGGTCCCCTCTGCAGATCTCTGTATGTCCCTCTGTAGGTCCCTTCTCACTCTATAGGTCTCTCTGTAGGTTCTCTTGATCAGTCACCTGTTAGGCTTTACAAAACCAGACCCTGAGTGCCCCGAGAGCACCTCCGTGAGCACCTCCGTGAGCTCTCTCACACACTTACAGCCATAAACACACCTAAACCCACACACATGAGCAGCCTGGTGCCAGGTCCTATCCATCAGCCCCTCAATGTACCCCCCTCCCACAGCCTCGGGCCTTGGGCCGTAGGCCTGAAGCCAGGGGCTGGAGTTCTGGGCGTGCCGCCAGTCTGTCATGGTCCTGGGACAGGAGCCAGCCCTCCATCAGCTTTGATGTGAGCTGGAGGAGCAGAGGGGCGGCCCCTGTGCAGACAGGCCAGGTCACATGCATTACCGCCACTGAGAGGCAGTGGATGTCTCCAAATATCTCTGTACCTTTAGTTTTGTTTCATGTGAACAAGTCCATGATTTCATTGGCGTCTGTTCCACAAATTGTGCTTCAGCCACCCTGGAAACTCCACAGTCTGGAGTATGAAAGAACTAATTAGTGCTGCAATAAATATGTGTTTTATTGGTCCTCACGCTGAGCAAGAATATGTATTCTTTTTATTTTGCTGAAGATGAAATATGACATGGCCTGACAGATGTGTGCATTGTGCAAAGGCGGTGAACTGTTGAATCATGTAGAAACCAAACTCTGGTGCCAACCTGAACTGGCCCAGACTCTGATTTTGTTTCTCCCAGTGTCCCCGCAGGACCTCGGCACTAACCTCATATTTAGTCCCAGTGCAAAGAGACTCAATATTAAGAATGACCTGAACAATGGATGGACCACAAACAGAGACATGTTTGCACCATATGAAATATGTCTCTGTTGATGAAAATGGATTCTAAATGTAAAATGGATTCTTGATTTAATCTGAGGCCTTGTGAAACAAATCACTTCCCAAAAGACAAGACCACAATCAACTTTAATTTACAAATGCATTTTATGTTCATTTTGGCCCGTTACCATTATATCTTCATTTTTATCCTTTCCAAAAAAAGTAAGATGCTAGATTTAACAATTGAAATCTATGGAGTGAAAGTAACAAACACAATATGCTGAATTTCAGGGCAAAGGTTCAAGACAACAAAAAGGAAAAAAAAAGTTTACATTTTAATGGACTTGCTCAGATATTTGCTTATTTGTACCATTTTTCCATCCACCCCACATTGTGTGTGTGAAATGCAGGTTTAAAGACCTTATTTCACTGAGTATATTTTAACGAGGGCACTAACTAGCCCTAGTGTCAGTCATGTGGACAGCTCCAGCCAAAGACACTGGAAAAATCGGCCTTTCCCACCATCTGTGACACTTTCCTGTGTCAAAGTCTGCTTGTTCTGTCCCAGACTCAGACAGCCTGAGCACTGCCACATTTTATTCTATATAGGTATGCTAAATACTAAATACAGTATATACTACACTAAAATGTGTAACGATGGATAGCTCCATAGAGCCTAATCATGTGATCCAAAGTAGAAACACATCCATCTAGAGATCAGAAGACACTGAAGTACACACTGCTCATTGTTTGTTATATGTACTGGATCAATAATCTTGTTGCTAGCCTGTGCATTTGGCAGGAAATGTGTATTTTGACCTGAAAATCACAGAAGGTGACAAGATGTAATACATTTTCTTTTCTACAAGATCGTCTTAAGTTCCATGTTTGGTTTCTGTCATCTGAATTTTTCATAATAATTCTTCATCTTAGCCAGGTGTCCTATGGCCAAGAATCACAGTTCATGACATAAGTTTGTTTGAATAGGCTTATTTTATGTGTATAGATATGGAGTAAGTAATGTTTCCTTGTGGTTGGGGTTAAGGGGTTGTTTATAAAAACATAACTTTATTAAAATACTTCATCAAAATGTGACATTTGTGGTCAGTCTCTTGTATAAAGATATGTATCCTCTAGAATACACTGTCACACAGATGAAACACAGATGAAGATAAGATATAAGAAATATTCATCTAATCAGGCCTGACTCAAACCCATGTACAGTGAAGGAGGCCTGTATGTCACTTGTAAGATGGTTTTGGGGAGAGCATCCACTGTCTGGAAGTGATGCCTCTTTTCAAAAATCATGTTGCATTTTTGTTAGATTCTTGTCATTTATCCCCAAATGTGTTTATATCATGAACATATTTTTTTTCCTATTATCTAAAGTTAGTTTCTTATACTTTGAAGAAGTCTGTATTCCATTTGTATGATAAATTGAACTACAAAAAATGTGTTGGTGTTTTCACAGATTTAAAAACTGTAATCTTGACTTGCACTTTGAGAGTCCTGACCTCTGAGTTCAAGTATAACCTTTCCACTCTGGTCTGTCTAAAACAACTTGTGGTGCCGTGGTTTCTGGTGGGACAGTTGTACAGAGGAGGGCAAGGGCAGGCCTGTGGGACCGTCCCATCTGACTGATCCTGTCCAGACTGTGTGCGACGTCACAGCTGCACTTCTGCCCACTCTCTCAAACACACACAACCGCAGGCCCAAATAAGCTCTAAATGCAGCTGGGCCCTCTCCATTCACTTATATTATAAGAGTTTTACAGTAAGAGCCACAGAGTGTAACTATAGCGATTTGAGTTTAGCCAGGTCTTTGGCCCTGACAACTCATGTATGAAGTATAGTAAAGATTTAGTCCATAAAGCTCACTGATCTGCATGGGGACAGAGCATTTATATTTGTTTCACTGCTGAATCCGCTCAGACCAGATTTCATGTTCCAAAATCTGGTGACCCCATTTTTAACTCCTCCACTATGTTAGTGCATTAATCATTTCCTGTATTTTACTTTAATATTTTATTTAACTTCAATATGAATGTATTTATTTATTGGAAGAAGATACAACAATTGTAAAATATTATTGGACAAAGAATACTGGCAAATCTAACAAACTGTAAGTGCTGATGGAATTTGCAAATAAATTGTTCATGTATTTTCAATATTCTCTAAATATATACAGAGATTTGTGTGGGGTAAAACAGTAGACAATACAAACCCTAAAACACCTAGTACAGTCAGTTGTAATGAGTAGTTTAATAGTAGTTCCAATAGTTATATCAAGTATTTACCCGATTACAATCTTAAAATTTCACCACAGAATAATAGCTTTTCATGTGTCCCATCAATTGTCAAAGTGTAGTTATATGAGGGGAACATCTTGGTATTTCCATTGGCAGGAGCTCAATATTAAGAATTCTCACAAAATTGTGGTCAGTACTTTTGGCTCCAACTGTAAAATGTTGCATTATATCAAACATCTGCAGTGTCACGTAACGTTCCTGGAGATGCTCTGAGGAATTTTAATGCAATGGTCATAGAAAAGTCAAACCACTTGTTTCAATCCTCCGCCCTGTTCTCATCATGCTAATTAGTCCTCAGAACTGTGCGTAAGAACTCCACCAAACGAATGTGCGCATGTAAAACTATGTAAAATCACTTTATGGGGGAGATTAATCAGTCTCTCTTCAGTAAAAGGACCATTTGAGATGCACATGAGGAAAGCCATTCAAACAAACGATTATATTTCTAGAACAAACTGTGAAGAGGAGGTACTGAAGCAGAGCCAAAGCATACAACATGTTCAAAATATATTCTTTTCTTACGGCGCATGAGGAGCCTGTGGTCAGTGCTTAATTGTGTGTGCGAATTTAAATAACAAGTTTATCGAAACCACAACCGAAAAAGAGAGAACAAATATTTAGACAGTCACCCGCATGAAAAACCCAGAGAAAGAATGGAGCGATGAGGGCACAGGGCAAAGGCAGGGGCAGGTGTGGGTAAGTCCTGCCAACAATTCAACAGATCTTCACAGTAGCAGAGTCAATGAGGGCAGAGCACCTGTGGATTCAGTTACACTATCACAGCACCTGGAGCTTTTCATTTGGTTCTTATAAATCACCATGAAGCATCTGATTTAATTCTGTTTGGGTTTCTCTTTATGTGCTAATATTTCAGCTTCATAGAGTAACATAATATGGTAGTTGTTATAGCAAGTACTAGTACATGGTTTCATAAACAAGAAGCATTACACTTTTAAAACATGTAGATCTAACATCAAAACTGGGTGCATTTGGGTCTTTTGGCTCTAACATACTTTAACGTTTTGGGTACTTCTACTTTCTGTAATCTTTTTCTAAACCTTTTTTCTTGCATGTTGAAAGCAGTCCCAATCTTATTTTATACGCCTGTAAACACATAGCTTTTTATTGAAAGTTCAAATATGCCAAGACCTGCTACCTTTGGTTTGTGCTTGTAAAGTCGATCTTTCCTATAGTTTTCTGTGACCTCAATATCACATACTGTACATTTTCTGCAAAACTGTGACTTACAGGACCAAATGCCAGGGTTACACACGTAGGCTTATGCCAAGATAATTTTAAGTTTACGCATGAGGCAACGCCAGGGTCTTTTTATGAAAGATTGACTGAGTATTAGCTCCTTAAAGCTCCTCTCCACTCGCTTCTAATCCTCTTCCTCATTTACCCACAATTCTCCTCTTCTCTCAAATTCTCGAACTCCACAAATTTATGATGAGGTCAGTCTTATTTTAGACAAGCATTTATAAATCTGCAACTTCGACACGGAGCTGCTCAAAGTGAACCACAGGCACTGGAACAACGGAAAGACGATGACCACCAAAAAGACCGTATGTAATATTGATAGATTTAAGAACTTTGGTATTGTTTCAGCTTTAAATTATTTTTACATGAAAACTAAACTGAGTACTATTCAAATGTGTTCAAAGGAAAATATGCAAATAAATAAAATACATGAAGGTTTAAGTGCTGGTTTTATATGGATATTTATTGAAATAAAGTAGAGCATCGAGCCAATTTGTAAAAAGTAACAAAATATCAGCTATATTAACACATTTTCAAACCTCAACTCCATGGAGAAGCTTATAAATACACTTGGTTGGATGGGTAAAACATAATGCCGTTGTCTATGGAGGACCACCACAGGGACAGTGAGCAAATAGAAGTGGTATTGAACTTAAAACATCGGTGCACACATTAAAATCACAGATACACGCCTTTTTTTTTCTTGACTGAACCAACATGAAAAGTGAACAGAAAGATTATGTGTTTTGATAGCAATAAGGTGCATTTCCCTTTACAAAGACAGTGAAAGAGCCGCAAGAACAACATACAAAGTGACTTTCAAAACAAGAGAAGAAGAAAACGCCAACAAACAGTATCATGGAGATGGTGGCTTGAAGTTGAAGTCTGGTTAAAAAAATAAATACATTTTACTGATTGGCTGGATAGACATACTATATACACAGAGAATGGATTAAGTCACCACTACAACATTGCCCATATATACTTGAAACCATTTACGTATTGTAAAATAATGTTAGATGGATATTTGGTGTTAATATGGAAAAGAATGTATGCAATAACAAATATAATATTACTCTTGGTTAACACATACAGACAGGTATTAGCTTCTGTCTAAAAGTGCATATCGGTTGAGGGATTGTTGCAGCACCCGGGGAACTTTAAGGCATTTGTACAGCTTAATAAAATGGCCCAATCCCCAATCTTAGCCCTCTGCGTAGTACCCCGTGTACTCCAAAGAACTCATGTGGACCACCAGTGTTACTTACTTGAAATGCAGTAAGGTCATGAGGTGAGTATGTAATTGTCTAGGACTGGGCCAGTGAACAAAACATCCATACGCACAGGCATCCTCTTCAGTCATTCTTTAAGAACAAGCCCCAAACTCAACTATTCTACAACATTTGGAGAAGGGAGTCCAATTCAGTCCATTTGAATATCCAAATTTAAAAAAGCTTGAGGGAAGCTGGGCAGAGAGCTTTTCCAACAGTTTTTCAGGCACTTTGTGGGTATAAAACTGGCTGTTGACGTCTGGGCCAAAATAAAATCTCAAAATAAATATTTCTCAGTTTCTGATTTGTTGTCAAAAAAAAAAAAAAAAAAAAGTCAAGTCTTTTTGCAAAGGCATAATTGTTTAACTCTATAAATATAATTTATATAGTTTCTTTCTTTCATTCTTTCCACTTCTTTGCTCCTCACACTGGTCTGACCACAGAACATGCGCTCCGTCTGTTACTTGCAGACAAACTGGTCCACGATTTTGGTGCAGCGCTTGCACTTGACGTAGCAACACCAGTGGAACTTACAGTGACAGCGCTCCACTATCTGCGCCTTGTACTGGTCATAGCCCCGGCCACAGCACATGAGCTCGCAGCCGTCCATGCCCTCGGAGGTCTTGTTGCACAGGCGTCCCACAGTGCCCAGAGAGCCAGTGCTCTGGTTCTTCAGGCAGTAGTCCGGGCTGGACTCCAGGTACACCAGATCGTGGCTGGTCGGGGCGTTGAACTTGCTGTTGAGCTGGACCAGTTTTCCACGCGTGTTGAGCTTCATGGCGGCGGCGCTGTCGTACTTCTCCTTCAGAGCATCTCCCACCTTCCTGAAGTCGGCCAGCTGCAGCCAGCAGGTCTTCAGACTGCACGAGCCCGAGACACCATGGCATTTACATGAGACGTGGGCCAGGTCGGACACAGTCTGAACCAGAATGAAACAAGAGAGTATTAAAAACTCAAGTCATTGACAAAGGATTTACTAAACTTTTATAGGTGTAACAATATATGACACAATATAACAAACTCTGTTATTCTCCTCTATCCACTCCACCTGCAGTCCACACTGTGAACACTTATTTGTGGGACATACAAAAAACATCTTTCCTGTTGTTTTTCCAAGTAAACCAGCTCTTTCTGATCAGACTGTGTTAAAGAAAAGCTCAGAATAAAGTCTAACAAGCCTCAGATAGCACAGTGCTTATAGTTCGCATCACACCCCCAGGGATATCAGCTGCAAAGTATCAATATAATATAATCACTATTGGCAGTGTCTCCATGCACTTGTCTCCATGTTTTTTAAGTTAACCAAAACATGTTCCAGTCATTTGTCCTTTTTCAGGGCTGGCAGCAGATCTCTGGCACTGCACACGTCTGAGGTGGTTTCAAGATGTTTAGAGAGAGATGGAGTGCCTCGTGTGATCTGACAGCACAGAGATAAAAGTGTGTGCTAATGAGAGTCGACAGAGCTGTTACACAGATCATCAGCCAGATTCCTCTACGAGACCTGCACTATTTCACTTCAAACCTCCCTATACTGTTTCACTGCAGTCTGCACTTTGTTCAGTAATGTTGCACAAGTCCAGGTGAGGTGTTTGCTAAACCTTTTTTTCTTTTTTCAATTAAAAACACATATGACCAAATTCGAGCAGGCTGTATAACATACCATAAATTTGTATTCTAATTACAAGGTTCTATATGAGTATTTCTGAAATATTTTTGAGTTTTTTTGAGGTTTCTTAAAGCACTATAGAACTGAGAAATGGTAAATGGGATTGGGCCCATATTGTGCTATTTTTTAAATCTATCTTATAATGTTGTTTCCCCTTCAAAAACACCCAGAGTTGTATTTTGTTTCATTCACACGTTTCACACACATATCCTGAATACTTAAGAGTTCTTTTCTCAAATGCAGACCTGGCCATTGTACAGCTTCTGGGCCAAATAAACATTTTATAAATATTACCTCATGCGTTGCTTTTATTTTAGAGGTGTTTTTTTAAATGACATTTTTTGTAAGGCAACCTCACATTTCACTGCTTAGTCATAATATAAACTCTTCCCAGTCTGACCGGCTAAAAAACAAAGCTATTTACTGCTTTTTATAAAGAAATACAATTAATATTATGCAGAATTGAGTTAAGCATTTTGGCCCAGCCCTCCACAGTATTTTCAGTTTCTCATGTGGCCCCATGGAAAAAATAATTACCCACCCCTGCTCAAATGGAAAATACTCTGTTCCATCTTGTAAATCATGTGTTGATAAAGCTTTTGCATTTTTAATCACCATACACCTTCAATAAATTAATTTGCATAATTTTGGCCCTGGAATTGCCAATCTCTACTGAACCAAATGTAAAAGGTAGCTGTACATGTGTAAATAAAACAAAACACATCTACATGTATGTTTTTTGAGGAGGTGACATTATAACATGCCTAGAAGCTCACGAGAATCCATTTTGTGTAATATGGAACCAAGATAACCCTACAGTATCTTGATACAGAACGTATTCAGGAAACATCACATAGAACCTTATAATTCTGAGAGGACAAAAAAACAAAAACATAAAGGGAGTTTGTGGCTCAGAGAGAGTAAACCAACCGTTTCACTATCTCATACAATCTTACCCGTCTTCCAGCTTCATTATTGTGAAGATTCATCAACTGTCGCGCACTGTCGTATGAGCCTTTGGGATAGCTCTTCTCCCTCTCGCGAGCATCCACAAACTCCTTGGAGAACCTGTATCCGTAGTTGAGGTTGTCTCCACAGCCACCCCACAGCCAGTCCCGGGGCAGGTCTTTGGGGCGCGCTGCTCGACTGCACCCACAGCTCGACAGTTCCCCCTCTCTGCAGGCTCGGCTCACCGCGTTTACCACACCCGCCGCACTGATGGCGTAGGTGAAGGCCGTCTCTCTGCTGGCTGTAAAGGACATAAGAACATTGGAGATATTGTTCAATCACAAAGCAAAACATTTTATATTTTTTTGGAAACAATGTTAAATAAATCAAATCTGATTTGTAAATATACAAATTTGCATTTGCAAAATGGTATTACTTGGCCTCACATGTCCCAGAGTATCTCATTAAACTTATCTTTCATGCATTTATTCAATTACAAGTGTGTTAAATGCTAAACAATAAACACAAAAATTGTGAGTGGTGCTTTCCACAAATCTGACCTGTAACTTGACTAGGCGTGTGCAAAATTATTAATTAATATAAGTATCGATATATTGTATCATTTAATGTGATGATACAGTTTTAATATCAGGGACTGCAGTATCGATATATTGCCAAGAGTATGTTTTTTTTTGATATTTAACTATATTATTTTGTTACAGTCCTACAGTTTTGTTGCTTGTTCAGAGGAAGGAAACTTGTTTATATGCCACATTTGACATTTTCACTGTTTTGTTGATTAATATGTTTTTCAAATTAACTTTGCACAAGAAGAGACAAAGACTTTTAGTATCACTGCCATGATTTAGCCTTTATTTTTTCTTGAACCATATCGAATCGATTCGAAATGTATCGTATTGAACTGAAATTGCACTGTAATGAGATATGATACATAGGCCACGATACTATACATATCGGCAACTTCTTAATGATACCCAGCCCTAAACTTCTCCATGGAGATAAATAATTTTAATGCCATACTGTAGAACATACTAGGAAAAGTAACACGGAGACAAGACGTGGTGACAGTCCATCAGAAAACAGTTATATAGTGCACCTTTAAATGTATTATTTTAGTATTTTTCATAATGTTTGATCAGTGCATTCCTTTTTTTAAAAACTGCTCCAAGCTCCTTGTATTTTGATCAATTTTTCAAGATGTTTATTTCTTCTATACTGAGGCCATATCAGTGTCCTTTTCCTTTAAGAATCCCCAGACAGAGGAGATGTGATGTCATATGACAGCACTCACCATACACTTAAGATTTCAGAGCACTCCAGCCAAAACTGCTGCAGGCTCCTCATTACCAACATGTTCAAGTGCAGAGTTCGGTTTGCTGTTGTTGGGATTCAGCCAGAGAAAGCAACGCCCTCTAGTGACCAACACCCTTCAAAGCATGCACGGTCTAATTCAGTTCAAATTAGAATCGACAAGAAGAAGAGCTCTCTTGGTTGTATCTGTCACAAGTGAGGGATGCTGGAGCCACTAGCCATTAACCACAAATTTCCTCTGCTGGGAGGGCGCAAGACAATACAAGAAAGAGATACGTGTAAGCATTTTTTCCTGCTGTCAGTGGATGTTCTACCCATTAGCGCCACTTTAAGCGGTCATAGTCTACAAGAAGAGGGTAGATAAGAAGCAAAAGACAAAACAGCTGACCGAAGTATGCTGACATTAAAGACAAGGAACACTAAAATATCTGAATGAAGTCTATACTGTCTACCTGCTGGGCCAAATCTGAAGGAAATATGCTCTGATGGGAAGAACAGATGGAAAGAGAAAGACACATGACAGGGGCTATACATTTGAGTGAAGGGAAAGCAGAACAGTAAAGAATGTATAGGAATATATGGCTTTCTCTTTAATGAAATTGTGCACTCACTTCAAAATATTAAGTAAAAAGAAACCCAGCTGTGTACATTTGGCAATAGATTATCAGATGTATTAGTCAAATTTTAATTGAGCCCTAGGATATTGGCAAGTTTCACATTTTGCCATCTTCCACTTTGCAGTCTCACTCAATTGAAAGAACCATTTGGGAGTTTGGTTCAACTGTATCCCAGCCTAATGTAACCACAGTGGGCCGAGGAGTAAGTCTAAGGACCCCCTGGAGCTCTGAATGAAGCCAGCAGACTGACTGACAGGCTTTGACTATTACAGGGAAAGCCTTGTGTGCTTAGGCAAGACCATGTTATGAAATATGTATAATTGTACAGGCAATTCAGTAACACAGTGAAGTTGTTGAATGTTAATTTCAGACTTGAATGTGTAAAACCTTTTAAATATGTATGAATATATGTATCCTGTTATTAACTATCGTGGTTGCATTTGTCAATTAAAAAACTTCAAACTAAACTTTTTGCCCGTCTGCATAAATCACAAGCCTTACTTTGAAAGCATTTCTGCGGAACTTGAATTTAGAGACATTTCTTAAGAAAAATATTTATCTGTAAACGATCTGCACTAAGAGGAAAACCATACTGTAATCTTTTCTGATGCAAGAATAGAAATTGCTGCATGCTCTTTCTCAAACCTCTACACTTAGAAAAAGGTTTATATTAAACTTCAACTTTTTGTAACAGCTTATTTGATTAATGGCATCGTGACATTGTGTTTGAACTGATGTTGATGGTTTAGGAAGCTCTGAGCACAAATGCAAAAACAATAAGAATTTGACAGTAAGCAGCTGTATGTTGTTTTATATTTCTATACGTTCCTTTAACTCGATGAGAAGCAAGAAGCCACAAGTTCTTTACCGTGTACCTCACTCACCAACCATTCCCCCGCTTGGCTGCCAAGAAGCAACAGTCCTATACACTTTTCCAATGAAGCAATGACCAATCCAACGTCAAGCAAATGAAGCATACAGAAACTGTGTGAGTATGACCTTTAGGTTTATGCATACATATGCTATAACTTATTTAGCATTTTAAGCAACAAAGAAAAAATACTGCTTTTTGAAATGCTGAAGGCACCAGTAGGTCACACAAAGTTGGGTTAATTTAAAGAAGGTTATTTAAAACTTGTGTTATGTGTGGCTATATCCTAAAACCATCATTCATTTCCAGCTGAAGTTATTTCAGTTTATTTCGATATTTGACAATGATAGTAATCAATCTGCTTTTCTGCCAGGAAATCCACATTGTTATTTTATGATGCTCAAGACATGAAAAGTGAATACACTAAAAAGTGTTTTGATTAACTAGCACCACCTCATGAGACTTTGAGATATTTAATAAAAAGCAAAAAATGACAGTCAAATGTGTGTGTGTGTTTTTTTTTTTTTTACCTATATGCATAACGCGTCCAAACACAGAGGAGTTGTCCACAGTGCTACAGTTCCAGCGTCGGTGTCTGAACTGGTATTGGCACTCCCGGATGCCCGTCTTGGCGCCTTCTCCAATGTACTGCATGTGGTCCTGGTAGAGCTGGCAGAGTTTCTTCTGGCCCTGAGACAGGCCCACCAGCTGGCTGCACAGAGGCTGAGCTCCGATGATGTAGGCCTCAGGAATTAGCAGTGGATTCATGGCTAAAGACCTGAGAGGGCAACAACATAATGGGTTTGAACATGCAAATGTAAAAGCGTTAATTTTTCTTTTTATTGTAGTGGAAGATGCATAATTTAACTTGTGTGCAGGTTGAGGAAGGTCATCTGGTGACAAATTAATGCCAAATTAATAAAGAAACTTATTAAACAATATTTGTATGTATGAAAACAAAATGCTCAAATTTATCACATTTTTATCTATCCACAATGGGCCATTTCCAAACCTGGATGAGGTTAAAATTTACACTAAAAAGTCAGAATGGGGGACTGTGTTGGCCCCAAGTCTAAATAATGACGTTTACTCTAAAAAGCACATTTAGTATGTAATTTCACAAATTGAATTATGTTGAAATTAATGCATGTCAACCAAGAGGCAGATGTTTCTCAGTGGTAACCTCCAAAGAGAAGGCAAAAAAGGTTATCAACTGGTACATATAAAGTATGTCCGTCATGTGATCATAAAAGCGGCCTTAAGTGCAATAGTGAACTACAAAGGGAGACAAAAGCTACATTTTTGAATGACTCATTGAAGACTCGCACTCATTTCACCATCTGGTTCCAGACCACAGGACAATTAGAGCGGCCCATCCCCGAGCCCCAAGAGAGACACAATTAGCCCCCAGTGTAACCCGATCGACTGGGGGAACTCAGCAGCAGCAGCAGCAGCAGCAGCAGGGGAATGCAAACGCAACACATACAATATACGCACAAAACACACACAACATATGTACACATAACATACGCACAAAGCATACACACACACACACACACACACACACCAGAGGCAGAAAAATAAAACAACACACGGCTCTGTTTGTGTGCTCAGCCACTCAGACTGTGTGCTGCTGCTCCACTAAATCATTTACACCTGTGTCCCCTCCACACCGGAAACAGGCCAACAGTTTGGGCTCACTACTCCTTCAGCGGCCTGCACTTCAGCTGATTTAATGGACGCTCTTTCCAAAACAATGAATTTTAAAGTATGAGTACACTATAAAAATGTTAGAGGTGTGTATTGGTGAGCACAAAATATAGCAGATTTTCAAACTAATATACTGCCATAATGTTATGGTCATAGATGACTTAAAGGACACTGGTAAAGTATTGTTTTTTGTTCTAGTTGATACCTGGTTTAGTCCCAGTATAGATCAGTTTGAACCAGGTCTAGTCCTTTCAAGTAAGAAATTCCACATGTTTATATTTCAATTTTGTCCATTCTCTAATCAAGGTCTTCTAGTAACACTGCTGTCTATATCTAGTATCTATATTATTCAACAGAGGCTGTTTATTGTGCTTGTAAAAGCATAGTTATGAATTAATAATTGAAACTCAGATCAGTCCTGTCATTACCATATGAAGTTAATTTGCTCATTGATGCTGCAATTACTGCAGTTTCCAACTCAATTACCAAGTGCGAAGCTGTATTTAAGTGGCTGGTACGGTGAGTGCAGAAATATAGACATTTTAGTGAACATTACCAGAAACTGGACAATATTCACAAGCCTTCATACACAGGCTGTGACAGTATTTGCACATATTTGGAAGGTGACTCACACACCACTGCATTTTCTATAATTTTCATAATTTTGGCTTGGCCAAGGAAGAATTTAAGTTAAAAAATGATCTGACTGTGTGCTACAGTCAACATTTTACTATTGTAAACAGATTTAGCCAGCGCAGGGGCTAAAATCCAATTTTACATGAATGTGTTAAAAAAATATACTTAAAGCCCCCTTACGTAGAATACATTGTATAAAGAGTATAATCATACATACCACCATGAGTTGGCCTCCACCACCACCTGCATGAGGAGTGTGAGGATAGTGAGAGCGAACACACAGTGTCTGGAGTCCAGCGTCGCGGAGCCGAAAGGCCAGCAAAGCGGCCGACACAAGCACTTCAGTCCCAGGTTCATACTGAAGATCTGAGGGACAAAACGACCTCAGTTAATTACACAGAAAACTTACACTGTATGTGTGCAGTTTTCAGTCCTTTAGGGCAAAAGACAAATCAAGATTAAAGTAGACAGCTGGCGGCAGGCTGCACTCAAACACACACAGAAATGTGTAAGTTTAAAATAAATTGTTTCTATGAGATGATAAATTATAATTTTGGATATTTGGAAGAAATACATTTTTATAATGTACAACACTTTTAAAAGATTGAAAATAACAGCAATCATGTCACTATTTAGTATCAGGTTTAGAGATTATGACATTACAGAGAGTAACATAAAATAGACAATTACCTTATAGTGTAAAAAGTATGAAAAAGGGCAATAGTACATAAAAACTAGTTATCATAAAGGTGCCATACAAGTTTATTTTATAATAAAGCAAAGTCCTGCCATTGCGTTTGAAGTGATCATAAATCCAGAGCTGTGTAAAACGTGTCAGAGCACTGTGTGCGTTAATTAGCTGCGACTGAAGTGTCAGACTGTGATTATACTCAGGCCAAGTTCATCATCATCATCATCATCATCAGACAGAACACGCGCACGCTCGCGCTCACTCGCGCACTCCACGCGCTCACATGTTTAGGCATACTTTTGTTTCTTTAGTTTTTCTATCTTTATTTTATTGTGTATGTTAACGAAAATAAATATTTTAAAATTGTTATTTTACACGCCCGAATTAGCGCAACTTTGACAGTGCAATTTAGTAGGCCTACATGCACAAGTGAAAATACACTATATTTATAATTAGGCTATAATTATTCCTCACAAGTTCATGATCTCAAATCTGCGAAGAAAAACCGAATACAATTAGTAAATTGCATAATAAAAGAAAACTTCTTATTATTTTTTATTTGTGAACTCGCGTTCCCTCTGAGTCGTTTCATTTAGGCCTAACTACTATGAGCTTGTGTTTGACACTCATATTTATTGTGGATTCAAAATGAAGATTTGGGCAGTACACGCCACACACACTGCAAATGGGATCTTGCAGCAATTTATAGAAGGTAAAACGCGTGATAAAAATGTATGGTATATATTTTACAATTACCTTTTTTGTACAAATGTTGCAGATCTAACTGGGACTAGTCTAAAGCTATATACTGTAACATTCAAACCAAATATTTATAGGCAGCCTCCAGTGCGTCGTGCCGCTCTCTTCGCGACATGAACTTCAGAAGCCAGGAGAGGGAGCCAGGTGCACGGGTTTATGACGAGAGCAGCATCAAAGTGACTTTACGCAAAGTGAGCCATTACACACTTTCCCACTGGATCTCAAATGTCTCTCATAGTCTAAGCATAAGTACGGTTATTTTATTAAGGTTGAAGGTTGATTTAGAGATGCCAATCATTGTGATTGTGAACATTGTGTGTGCCATTCTGTGTGGCTTGTTTCTCATCTGTCAAGAAGTTAATTTCGCAGCACTGGGCCTATCAGTGCAGCGGGGTCCAAATAAAACAGTTCTTTTTGGGAAAACAACACAGGACTAGGGCCATGAAGATAACAGCCGTGCAGACTACTCACCGTGCGGAAAACAGCCCGTTACTAGTCGAACAGACTCCAATCAGTATTCCCTGGGCACACCAGTCCAGGTGACTTTAGAATCCCCTTTTGTCACTGCAGGAAAGAAAAAAAAATCGCTGTCTTCCCAGGTAATGTCTTGAAGAAATATTATTTAAAAAATGTGATGTTTTGGTGACAGTAAAAGCGCTCCGTCAAAGGTCAAGTCTAAACAATGGATGAAAGTTTATCTTAGATTTGTGAGCAATGTCTAATTTTAAATTAAAGGCATCTAGAGGAAAACAAAGTGCCAATTTGTCCCATGAAACTCTGTAATGTCTTTCAGAAAAATGTCACCTTTCAGTCAGTTTTGTTGTGTGAGATGCAGCTAAAACGATGCAGCTAGAACGTAAAATCCAGTCGTTTGCACAGTAAGCCCGTAGCACAATTACCTGCGGAAAAATCCACACCGTGATCCTCGCCACAAACGACTTGTCAAATTCCTTTCCATTCTGTGCGAAGACAACAACAAAAACCGCTTGTGTCAACTCCTTTTGCAGTATCCAGTGGATAAAATCACAGCACAGTTGCAGAGAGTAGACCAGGATCCCCAAACTTTTTTGTCCACCCGGCGTGCGTCGTGTTGCCTCTGCTGCGTCCACGCCGTGTGTTGTGCGTCTGTGTTGGAAGACAAGTATCGGCGACTATTCCCGTTTCGCACCGTTTTTCTATCCCTCCTCTCTCTTCTTGTCTCACCTGCTGCTGTCGCCTCCCCACACAAACTAGCCGACTGCAGCGTGGATGTGCGCCGCAAAACCCCCTTACACTTTGGCGCATGCGCTTTTCCACATCTTCTTCATCTCGCCTTCCAGCCCAGGCAGCCACCACCAGCAGAAACTTTCAGGAACCAAGGAGGAATTTGAGTGTAGGTGAAAACTTTGTGGAGGGAGGGTATTGAAGGGGAGGGGTGAACGGAACAGCCTGTAACAAAACAAGCGTCTCTATTACCTAAAATAAACTTATAAAGCACTCCAGGCTATTACCCTATCCATACTAGAGGAGAGACTTAGGATTTCTTCCCGGGTTGGCAGATCAGGTTACTGTGAGGTAAAAATCAGGACTGCAGAATGTACACAGGGCGCTCTCATCACCTGAAGGCCCGGAGCATTACAGCCATTAAGGTCATTATTATTTTATGGCACATTATCTCAAAACAGAGAGCTCTATAGCACAGGTTTTCACATTGTAGTGTATTTTCAATCTTCTATAGGTCTACTCCATGGTTTAAACATCTATGATTTATTTAGTCTATTCAAAGTCAGTCCTGTTTTAGGGCTCCGATGTCTGTTAACTCTTAGTCCATTTTAGAATGCACCCTGTTTAGTTCTAATTTAGTAGCTAGTTTAGTAGGCTAGTTGTTTGGAACTCTGAAAATCCTAGTTAAGATCTGTTTCTGTGTCAGCTTAGTTCAGAATCAGACCATGTTAGATCCTTGCTTAATCCAGATTTTAAAAGCTATGTATACCACAAGTGATACAGTACAATGTTTTGTTGTTTAAGTCAGAGGTCAAAGTACTCAATAGTTCCACTAAGTGATTATTTGCAATTGCACCACGGAAGTTGGGGTTCGAATAACAGTAGGAAAAACAATAGTAAAATGAATGGAAGGGGCATTAACCTGGGCAATTTGGCAGTGTGCCCTGGTAATTGAGTGAAGATGGAAAATAAAATAGGTTGATCCCAGTGCAATGTATGACTAAGGAGGATAGGCCTCATATAAAACAAACACACGTTACAAAAGCTGCCTCACCAATGAGATGTCTGGTAGCAAATTGAGCTAAATGTTTGAGTAAAGTTTCCACTTAGTAATTATTTTCAATTGTTTCACTGTAGAAACAAAACAAAATCTGAGTTCCATCGTAAAGAGACAACAAAACTAGGTCTAAAACAGAACTAAACTAATTTGATTGTCATTATTGTATCATCGTAACCGTAAGTGTGAAAACTACTTATACCTGATTGCACTTGAGTATCTTTTCAAAACACACTACAACCATGTGATCCCTGTAGTCATTTGCCATGCCAGGACGCCCCTCCTTCCACTCGCCCTCACACCCCTGTTCCCTGAGGAAGAAAAAGCGGGCAACATCTGGCTGAGTTTATGAGAGACTAAGAAGGAGAGAGAATTGGTAGACCATGAAAACAGGGAGCAGGAATTTGTTCTTGGTGCTGTGTATTGTTTAAGTTTCCATAAGACATAATGCAGTGTTTCACTTTTTTCATATTTTCTAACAACACTTACTATAAAACATACTTAATATCCATGTATCTAAATTAGGTGTGCAACAAGAACAAAATGGATTGTATATTGGTAGAATAATGTGATAAAATGACAATCAAAGGTGCACTATGTAACTTTTTGGTAGGAGGTCCATCACCTGGTTGTTTCTATGGAGATGTCATTGCTCTGCCTGGAATGTTCTGCAATATGACATTAATCTACATCATCTACCTTACATTTTTTTTGTTTTGTATCTCGAAATGTGTGGGAAAAAAAATGCATTTTGACTGTGAGCTCCTCTCCATAGATCTGACCTGTAACTTAGTTTCCAATAAAGTTAGAAAGGTTTAATAAGCATTTGATGACCTCTTCATAAGAAAAATTAAACAATGCACCTTTAAATGAACAATGCGTAAAAACACGTTGAATGTGTTGTAAAACCAAATTTAATCCAAAAAAAGAAGAAAAACAGAAATACTGAACAATCAAAAACCAAATATGAACACAACTGCCGTGTACAAAACTGCTTATTAGATAAGCGCAATGGAATTTTTTTTCTGTAAAAGTAATGCTACAGACAACATGTCGATGTAATCCCTAATTAATCTAGGAGTGGTCCATGCTATCAAAGATTTCAAAGGTAGTCATCAGATAACTGCAATTTCGCATTCCAATAGTAATGATGATAGTAATGTTCTGATAAAAATATAATTAAAACCAATCAGGAATAACTTTATGACTACTTACTTATTATGCTTCTTCATACACAAACTGTAATGCATTGCATTGTCAATGTATCTACTGTTATCAGAATCAGTAACTTTTTCATGTGGCTGAGCAATTAACAGAATTTTAATTGGCATGCAGTCATTTCTAATCATCAATAATTTTTTAGATTTTTTTTTTTTTATAGAAAGGTCCATAACCAGTGCTCTGCCTGTAAAAGCATGTGGTTTGGAGCAGAGTTCAGATGTTGGAGGAAGAAAGGGACTATTTTTTGTGTTTTTGAAAAGAACATAGATGAGAAAAGAATGGTTTCTTTTTTTTTTTTTTTTTTCCCCATATCGCCCAGTCCTACTTTCTCAGTTTTTGGTCTGTTAAGTTGAAGCTTACACTCCACGCCATAATCGTTCATTGCAAATTCAGCTCTATCCCTTTTGATTTTAACTACTGCAGAATGCTGACACAATGCAGAATCTGCAGTTATGGCAATAAACTGACACAGTTATCTAACAGTCGTAACTTCGTTTTTTGCCCAAATCCTCAATAATGCAAGCGGCCATTTTGTTATTCTTGATGGGTGTACAGTCATGACTCACCTATCCGCAAAGTACGTCATTTACAGCCGCACCAACTTCAGGATTTGTGACACATCAAACCATTTTTGACATAGAAAACCCAAACAGAACATGATATTGGTGGATTAAACAAACACACAGCAGGCGAAAAGAAAAGAAGGAGAGTCTCATAAACAATATGTTCTTTCAGAAAGTCTTTTGTGTCATTAATGAACAGTTCGTAGGCATGATGTAAGCTTATCCTCAAACAGTTTCCTGCGTGGGTATCTTTAGGTTGTATTTCACTGCAGTCCTTAGCAAAGAATGTGGCTGATTGGCAAACAAATGAGCAACTTGTGGTGTATACTGGGATTATGGAGGATTCAGATTTGTCCCAGTAAATCGTTTCAGTTTGTAGGGGACGACGCAACTCCTTTGGCACGGTATGTCAAGAAAAAAAATCTCCAAAAATGAGGGATTGAACTCCTTGTATTTACAGAAGTCCAGTATTTAGTTGCACTTGTAAACACTCCATAACTGCCTTGTGCATAAGTGTATGAATGGCTAGCACTGCTGGGTCACGCTAGCCACAAAACAGCTTGAGCCGAGTATGTTGGGATACCTTGAAACCCAGGGCAGATTTGAATAAACACGATGTGGAATGTACTTGAGTCTACCATAACACTGGTCTTCAAGGCCTGGTTGAGTTCATGACTTGCTGTGAGTCTGAAGAAAGCTGAATGAATTGCCATCTCATACTTCAACCTAGAAAATAAAAAGAAAACAAAAATGTCAGGCAGGATACATTTAAAGATGCACTGTGTAATTGAAGGGACTGTTGCCTGCTAGAATGTTCCAGTGCATGGCATTACGTAACAGTCTTCCTGAACAGACAGGCCTCTACTTTGACTATGTTTAAATCCAGGCTCATTCTTCTCTTTTAATGTTAATTTTATGATGATTATTTATGTTCTGATCTCTTTGTTTTGTGATTTTAATGTCTTTCTTATTCTGTAAAGCACTTTTAATTACTTTGTGTATGAATTGTACTATACAAATAAACTTGCCTTGCCTTGCCTTGCCATTATGTGACGCCATGATGGGTTTGATTTGTTTATTTGTGGAAAGGTCTGTTCACAGTTCAAATGCATGCTTTAAGGCATTCTTTAAGCAATAAAAACACGTGAAATGATTAAACAACAGATTTTGAATGTCATACTGTGGAACATTCCAGTCTAAACAATAGCATTTCCAAGGAGACACATTCACTGAACATTTTCTATAGGTTGCAACAACAACTTCTGTTCACAAACACGGAGATACTATATTTTGATTGGTGGCACTGGATGCTCTTTCAAATGATTTCAAGTAGTTTGTGCATATTGATTTTCTTGTGCTTAATTCCACAATTGGTCAGTTTATATATTCTTGAAATGGCACCAAGATGTTTTCCTGCAATGCAAAAACTAAACTAATCTAGCCATGTTAAATTACTTGAATTAAGAAAGTTTTGTCAAAATTTTAGTAAATTTCATTTAACCAGCAAAATGATCTGCCAGTGGAACTAGATTTTTCATACTTAAAATATGAAAATACATCTTAGTACAATTAAGATAAGAAAAACAACAACTCTTTGCAATTAAAATAAGAAACAAAATCTAATTTTGCTTGAATAAAGAAAAACACACCTATTCAATTGCTAGATAATTTTACTTGTCAAGTTGAATCTACTCAAATAAAGTAAAATGTTCTTAGTTTCAGTCATTTTAACTTGTGCAGATATTGCTTTTTGCAGTGTGTCCAGAATATCGCTGTATTTTTTAATATAGAGGGTCAGACGCCTCAAGTCAGATTCAGAGTTTACCATGCTCTCAGATTGTTTTATTTCGGTGATGCATGTGAAACAAAGGAGAGCATTGACCTTTAACTAAATCAAACTTCTCTCACCTCAGATGAACAGAGTTTTCTGCTTTGCTCATTAATTCCACAGATTTTGTTATGTTTTATTATGTTTTTCAGTCCCCGTGAATATTTTTCCTTCCCTTTTCCCTCTTAAACAGCCATATTTGTTTTGATACAGACTTATGATTGGCTAATCCATTTGTCAATCACACTCATCTGAACTCAGGGAAATTCAACCAGTGACCAGACTCCAGGCTCATAGCTTTGTGAAGTATTGGAGAAGTGTGTATTCTGGATCCCAGGCAACCAAGATTGTATACTTTGGCTTGTATCCCCTTGTATCCCGAAATTCATACAACATAATCTCTCCTCTGATTCGACTCTTAACAATAAATCATTTGCTCTAAACATTGAATGATTTATTGTTACGAAAACGTTGGTATATTTTCTCTGATCCTTCCTGAGGTAATTCTCACCATTTATCCGTAATTTAGACACTACTTTGTGATGTGAGGAGTTTATCTTTACATTTCCTTCTACGTATTGATCAAGGCATTAGGTTAAGATGCAAGCAGCTTTACTTATCCAGACTTTAAACTGACACAATACATTTGAACACAGCCTTGTAATGTAAATGGGTGAAATTTATATAATAAACCATGTAATTGTAACAGTGGTTGCCTTATCATTTTTTGTGTCATTTATTGCAGAGTTGTAAAGGAAAGGTTAGCTCAACACACTTAGCTCTGGTGTTGATGTCTTGCTTATTTTGCAGCTTTAGCTTGACCATTTTGTTCCTCCCCCTGTCTGGCAACTTTCCAGAGCTCCTTAAGAATGCTCTAAATGCAGCTGGCTGTAGCCCAAACATCAAGTGCTCATTAATAAAAAAGAGGGGAAAATGTTGGTGAATGTGTGTGTCTAAAAGTCAAGCTCCATGCAGCAGTCAGTAACAGCTCAGTCCTGTCCTGGGGCTAGGTAGTGAAAATACAATGATGTATGTCTAGAACGCTGGGGGCGCCTCATTGGCTGAGCAAACAGACCCCGAAATAACGACCAATCATCAAAGACGTTATCATCAGTCACAGGGGGAGCTCGGGCCTGGAAACACTATGTTAGGGGCTGCAGATGTGCACAGGTAAAGCCTGAAGTTAAGAATCAATATTGGCAAGGAAGACATCAGTTGCAGAACCGGTACTCAAAATTAATACTGTTCAAATTAAACAAAAAAGTTCAGTTAAAAGTGCTAATATCATAATTTCTCATATTACAAATTTGTCTATCACAGCTGTTACAAATGGCTATAGTTTTTTTTTTATATAGTTAGGGGTGTGTGCAAAAATACTGAAATATTGATATATCGTATCGTTTACTGTGATGATACCGTATCAATATCATGGGCCGCTGTATTGATATAGTGCCAAGAGTTTTGTTTTTACAAAAAAAAATTACAAAATTATTTTGTTACAGTGCTACAGTTTTGTTGCTTGTTCAGAGGAAGGAAACTCGTTTATGGGACACATTTGACATTTTCATTGTTTCGATGATTAAAATGTTTGTGTTTCATATTGATTTTGCACAAAAAGTGGTTTAATAAAGACTTTTAGTATCACAGCCATGATTTAACCTTTATTTTTTTATTGAACCGTACCGAATCCTTTTGAAATATATCATATTGAAATAAAACATATCGTACTGAATCAGAAGCTCACTGTATGTAAGTATGTATCGTATCGTGGCCTATGTATCAAAGTATGTCTCGTGTCGGCCACTTCTGAATGATACCCAGCCCTATTAGTATCAGTATTGCTCCAACATTAGACTTATATTATTTTTAGTTGCTATGGTAACAGTACATTTATTGAACATATCAGGATGTGGAGTAAACAAATCCAGTTCATTTCTAGCTATAGCTTTACAATTTAGATACAATTCAACATAGAATTAGTTGAGTAAAAGTCGCTTCCCACCCTGGCAGTCTCTACATTAGTCAGTTAGCATTGTAAGAATGACCATGAGGAATGTGGCCAGTTGTACTCTTCCTGTCTCTCTGATTGGCTGTGAGGCGTGGAAAGACCATCCATTACAAGCCGGGGTAAATAAACAGGCCCTGCAGTTAAAGTGCCATCATTTGTTGTGGAGCAGAGGAGGTGGTTGTGTGTGTGGCGCGCTCGTAAAGTTGTTTGCCTGGGAGTGTATGTCCGTGCATGCTTGTGTTCTTTCTCAGGTTTCTGCGCTGTCGTCTGCACCTAAATTAATGATTTCTTGGGGCAGAGAATCAACAAATATGTCCCGGGGCAGAGGGTATAATGGAGAGCGGGACTTGCATGTAGATGTGTTTGAAGGCCGCTCCTCTTTCTCCTCAGTCAACACCTCAGCAGCCACACAAAACATGTATTCACTACACAACTGCACAAATGCACACGTAACAACTGCATTTGTCCTGCTAATGAGGAAGAGCCTGTCAATATGCAGTTACGGGTGTGTACATGCTTAACAGTTTAGGCTTATTTAACCTGACAGAATGTTAGATGTTTTCATTCTAAGGAGGTTATATTGGACGGATGACTTGTAAAAGCAGAGTTTTTTTATTTATTATATTTATAATTTCACCATGAAGATCCAGGAACAATCAGCTAAGCAGTTTTAACAGCAAGTCAATGGACCTATTTCTAATATTCACCCATAATTTACATTTTGTTTTACAATTAACATAATGCAATAATGATGTATGTTATAGTTTAATATACTAAATAACCAAAAGTAAAGCGTGGAGTGTCAAAAATGTCAATGTCAAAAAGAATAAATTACCATATAATACACTAATACTTGATGCCAGTTGCAAATGGTAGCTTTAAAAAAGATCCATTCTTAAAAACAACAGTATATCATGATAAGACATAATTCTGAATGAAGTTAATTAAGGTTTTCTACATATAACATATATAAATATAACATATTCTGTTTGATAAAGTATGTGAGGGAAGAGTCTAAAAGTTGGCAATATACAAAGACAAATTGAGTGCTATAAATGGTAGACTGTAAAACATGCCTTAAGATAGCCATAATATCAACTGTCCTGCTTGAATACTAGGCCATTTTGTCTCGATATAATTGGGACTGTACTGTGAAAAAATATGTTTGATTCAAACCAGACACACTCTAATCTTTAGGTAGATTTGTACACAAGGAGGAAGTTTGCCAGAAAAACAGTGCAATGGGGGGAGTATTTCATTAATCAAACGCGGACATGCACATACACTGAGGCCCTGCTGTATGTTAACTGTACGTCAAGAAGTAGCCAAAGTAGCAATACTCAAGTCTCCAGCTGTACAATCCGAAAACATTAACACTTAGACATATTGGATGAGATCATTCTGTCATCAACTCAAGATCTATGCTTTGAATAAAACATGCTATATGAATTCTATGAGTTATAGCTATAACAACACATATCTTTAAATGGGCATATCAAATGTTCCCCTTAGCCACCAGTCGGCATCAGCTGCAATCACCCATTCCAATCTCCAACTCCCTTCACAAGCCATCGTCCTGAACGCTTCCTCTGCAGGAGCTAAATGGTGGGATTCAATGGGGTTAGGGCTTTCTCATATTAATATTCATTGAGCAGAAGGACAATGATTGACTTATCAAATGTAGCCACAGGAAAAGTTACTCCTTGTTAATACCCAACACTATTTTTATCATCTATTTCCTTCAGTGTAAAGATTGCATACCAAGCCCATATGTATACATAAGTATGCTCCCTTTTCTTTAAGTGCAGTAATATAAACCTATTAAATGGGCTCTTAAAGGACCACCAGTGTTTTTGTCTTACCCTTTCATTCAGAGGTGCCCTGTGGTTA